TCTCCAGCAGCAGGAGGTCTGAGCTACCCTGAGCAGCTCCAACCCTTCCCTCTCAAGCATTCCATCCCCTCGCTTGGCTGCAGAACATCCCTTGTCTTCCCTGAATGCCGTAAAATTATTCCCTCCTCCCTGGATCATTGTATTCTCTGCCTGCAACCAGGAAATGCCCCAGCAGGAGGAATCCTGCTCTCCTTTCTCCCCATTCCCACTCCAGGAGCCTCCTCTCACCTTCCTCTGGTGCCCATCAATGACCAGGATCACCAGGACAGTGAGAGCCAGGGCCACCAGTGTCACCAGCACGCCAGCCCCCCAGGAGCGGCCCAGGGAACACAGCTGGAGGGTGGAGTAAAGGTTTGTCCAGAGAGAGATGTAGAATACCTGGGGGAAAATAGAGAGGCTGGTGAGAGTCACAAACCCATGAAAGTGAGAAAAGTCACAGGAAGAAGGAAATAACAATTCTTTCTCCCTTATAAATTAGGTCCCATGAGATTTTTCACAGGGTGAGAAAGGACAAAATTTCTTTCCAATAATAAATAGAGCAAAGAAAGGATTGGAAGGACTGAGTGAGCCCCAGTTTATTTTAAAAAATCACCACTCACCAAAGACAAAGAGTGAATTATTAATGATGATTCATCCCTAGGAAGCATTTCAGCTGAGTTCTTCCATTTAGATGAGGAATGCACTCACTGAGGCATATTGATAATAATTCTCAGAGTGCCTGGATTTAGAAAGTTCCTATTTCCAGGTGGTGCAGAGACCACTCCATTACAGTAATGCTCAATCAGGGGGCACTGATACAGGGTTAAAGGGCTGGGTTAAAGTCAGGGAAAAATGGATTGCTTCACCTCACAGAGGATGGATTTGGGCAGGAGATTGCCTAGGAGCAGGTGTGACATGTAGGGCACAGCGTCATCTCACATAATGACATAACTCAGGTGCACCAAACCCCTCAAAACTGAACACTGAACATTCCCAGTATCAGTGAAAGGAGATTTGCATAATGGCTATCAAAACAAACAAACAAATAAATAAATAAATAAATAATATTTGGGTTTGATCACACCCTCAGCACACTCCAAAGCACCAGCCTCACAGCAGATGCTCATGGTTTGGTCTCTGGAGAAATTTCTTTCACCAGAAGAAGACAAGACCAAAAATTGACTGATTTGTTTGTATAAAATTAGCATCAGGACCAGAATGCCTTCACATGTTTAAAATCAAGTTCTAAACCAAGCCTGTTGTAGGTGCTGTCACCTCAGCAAGTGCTGGTCACCCATGGACAGCCTGGGTGGAGACAAGACACCAGACTTTGGTGGGACTCCACTAACAGGGTGGAGAGAGGCCCTGCCCTCCATCTGCAGCAATTCTTTGAGCTGGAATGTTGGAATTCAGGACATCCCTCTGCCTGTCCTGGACTGCTCAAGCCCCTGGCACAGAGCCCAAGACACCTGTGACTTTGATTATGACCCATGGAAACAATTACCAACCTTATATGAGGATCTGCAAGCCACAAAAGTCTAAGTAGAATAATAATTAGTTTGTCACAGGGTGAAAAATAAATTTTTTGGGGTTTTTAGAATGGGACTTCAGGAGGGAAGATGGAGAAATCTGGGCATGTCCAGCCTTTCTCCTTCTTCTTCTTGGCCTCCATCTTCTGCTGTGATGTTGGCACTTTTGGATTGGTTTAAGGTAGAAGCTCGCTGTCTAACATAGGTGATAGGGGTTGGGAAGTACCTATATATATATGTACATGTAGTTTTTAGTATAAAAAGATAACACCACCCTGAGGGCGGCCAGAGTGCCTCTGTCTGACCTGCTGAATGGATCTCAGCAGGCCAGAGAAAGAATTTTATAGATAAGAAACAATAAACAACCTTGAGAATGAGAATAGAGGACTTCCGACTCCTTCTTCGACGGCTAGGCTGCAAAAAGAGACTTTCTAACACATCTCGGGGTCACTCTGAGCAGCAGAAGTCCCAAGACTGGAATTGCCAAGAGAACCCACCAGGAA